CCCCAGACATTTTCAAGGTCACCTTGAAAGCCAACCTATTTCCTTATAGCCTACTTCCCATTTACCCCCTAGGTTTTTGTTTTTGTTTTTTATTTCGAGAGTTTCTATCTCCATTGCTGACAAATGTTTTCTAAAGAATGTCTGTTATCGTTTAAATTTGTATTGAGATGGGCACCTTTTGGATTAGTCAGGTTTCTGTCACAAGACAAGGTTTCTGAGACAATCAATTTATAAAGAGAAAGTACTGACAGTGACTCACACTTTTGGAAGTTCTAATCTAATAGCAAGTGACCCTGTGGTTTTGGACCTTTGGTGAGCTGCCACATCTTCATGATGACAGAATGTGACAAAGCAGAACCCCTCATCTCATACCTGAGAAGGAAAGAGGGGGAGAAAGGAGGATGGGAGGAAGGAAAGGAAGAGAAGGAAAGGAACTGATATCTCACCACTCTCGAGCCCCCATGATTTAAGAAACTCCCACAGGTCCCACCTCTCAAAAGTTCCATCACCTCCAAATATAGGTACCCTAAGGACCAAGCATTTAATGTGTAAGCCTTCAAAGAACATTCAAGATCCAACCCGTTCCAATTTCTATATGCTGTACTTCTCTAGAAGACCAAGTAGTCATCATTCTCATAAGACAAAAATCAACAACCCATGTATCCACTAGAAATGATGCAATAAATAAAATGCGACAGTGCCCGTGCAGAGTAGCTGTGTGAAGGAGCATTCTCTTCCTGCAGCAAAGTAGCACCAGTCTCACAAATGTCTTTGTAATGAAACACAATTGTGTGTTTGCACAGGGGTCACACACTGAGTAGAATTAAGAGAGATTCTAACCTTCCATCTATGAGCTTGCCTTTTGAGTATGTCAGTAATGGGCCTTATTTTGTGATTAATTAGGAAACAGAATCTAAGTTAAAAACACATGAAAGTGTTCTTCCAAGTCTATCCAAACAAAGAAGATGTCACACTCCCACCTTTGACCCCACTGGACCCATTTGAAGATGCAAATAAAAGAAACCGTGGATGAGAAAGCATTGTTTTATTTTTAATTTAATCAGAGTGGTCAGAAAGGGTTTGGTGGTGGCACAGAACATCTCAATTTGAAAAGCAAGTACTTATTAGCTTAATGGAAGGCCAAGCTGTGATTCCAATGGAGCCTGCTTCAGGCCAAGGTTTCAGTAAAGAGGAAATCAGAAGCAATGAGGCTGGGGAAAGTCACACTCCAAAGGTTGCACCTGAGAAGTTATTTCTGTAGCTCCAAGTGAGAATTTAAGGCTCTAATTAGGAAGCCGATTTGAGTGTTCCTTTCAAAGTATACTTATTTAAACATACAGTTCAATATTTATCTTCCCAGCTGAAGGCACAGTCTCCTTCCTGGTGCCCTGATAATAGCATGCTATTCCTATCTTAATAGGCCTCGCCCTGGTGTACACTGTGCCCCGGTTATTACCCTGATTTCTGCACCCTTCAATAATGGGAGGCTGCTGGGAGCAGAGCTTGCTTTCCTTGTTTGTTTTCAAACTGCCGAGAATAACTACAAACAAACAATGGTTGAATTACATGCTGCCTTATCCATTCACTTGCTCACTTTGTTCTTATTTTGTACTTAGCAGTTAGCAGGCACAGCTACAGGGGCTAATGAAAGAGCTATGGAGAAAGGGAGTCAAATCTCTGCCATGGTGGAGCCACTCCATGCCTTAGTGAGAAGGAGCATTACTAGTAAAACATGTCAGTTTGAAGACAATACCTACTGTGGAGTACAGAGAAAGCCAGATGAGAAATGTGAGGTCTGCTGGACTAAGTGGCTATATGAGTTTTTCAGAGAAGGCTGCAGGGGTGAGGGTACACAGGGGAAGAACATAAAAGGTGGAGTGAAGTCCAAAGTCAGACAGCAGAGCAGATCTGCTGTTCCAGAAGCAGAGGAATGACTACCACAGCTAGAGTTGGCCAATCAGGAGCAAGGACAAGAGCGATGAGGGCCAAGAGGTGATTAGAATGTATCATGAATCATGTCGACCCTGGTAAGAATGTGCATGTATAGTTACATGCAATGGCATATCCTGTGTCTGCTTTCTTCAGAGATAAACCACAAACAATATAGAAGGATGATGGTGTTTATTTTGGTGTGGGGGAACATTTAAGGCAGAAGAATGATTTTTTCTGATTTGTGTTTCTACAGATTATTATCATCAGATTTTTAAAGAGAAGGTAGGGAATAAGCACAGAAGGAAAATTTCCTAGATGCCTGCTCTGTTATTGTAGAAGAAAGAAGATGGCCTGGCCAGGGTTTCCAGAAGTGGAAACAGCAACAGTTGCTTATCAACATGCTGCTTAACAAGCACAGGGGTTGAGCAAAGCATTGGGTGACGTCATCGCATGAACCTCACAGACTTCTCAAATAATGAAACCAAGAGTCACTAAGTGATGAAAACCATCTCATCCCCGCTGTGTTCTTACAGAATCACCATATGTGCAAACCACAGAATACGACTGTGTTTCCCAGTTAGAGACAACAGACTGTGCTGACAATGGGACTTGGTGAAAATAAAAGAGAGGAAAGATAACAGACAACTCTGAACTGTGGAGATAGAAAGAGACAGAAACTAGGAAGACAGGGAGATGGAAACTATACTGTAGTGTGACCGTTTATAGTTAAAGACTGCTTATTTGTAAGCATTGTTTAATAGTTTGGAGGGAATGACATACTGAAAGTATATTTTGAAGTGTTGAAATATTATTAAACAATTTCATTCAAGTCTTGTAATGCTTAAACCAATCCTGTGAGAAGGGCTGCTGTTTTCTTTACTCAGTAATGAAAATAAAAAAAAAAAAACAACTTAGTAATATTCTTTCAATCTCATGACAATAATTTAAACAAGATTAATAGTTATAACAGTGACAGTAAAGGGTGTCTAATATATACGGCTTCTTTCATAAAACTGTTATTTAACTGAATTTTTAAAAATGAACTTGCTCTAGCTCTTTCTCTCACACACACCACTACAAACTATAGATATATATCGCCATCTAGTGGCAATCCTAACATCGGTTTGCATACGCGATATTTGTCTAGAAAATAAAAATGCTGTTATTTCTTATGGATTGAGATAAGTGATCAAACAAATGTGCTTCAAAACTAAACCAAAGACTTGGTGTGCTAACACTACCTTTAGCTTAAATAGTACGTTTATTCTCTGCACATAACCCAAAACTATTTTTTCTACATTATTTATTCATGTGTTTGTTTATTCTTTTAATTTTATGTATTCATTTACATATTACGTATGTTCTATCTATGTTTTGTACACAACCCTGTTGTACAGAAAAATGCTGACTTTAAAAGGTTTTGAGACAATTTGTGTGTTAATAGACACTGAAAAAAATATATATGTATATGAAGCTTTATTACATATCTAGATCATTATAATAAAATAAATTTAAAATTATATGGGTTTCAAATGAGGAATCAGCTTAGGGTTAAAGGAAGGCTGGTAGGCCAGGAGCCAATACATGTGTCTCACGGTTGCATCCACTGCCTGAACATGCTTATCTTTTCCGAATGGCATAGTGAATCTGACCATGTGTATTCACATTTTCAATGCACTACTCTACACCTCATTGAACACAAATTCCACATTCACAAAATATAAGCTGTACTCACTCTCTAGGCTCCTGGTACCCTACATTCCAGTACAAAACGGACTGCCAGGCCTTGGTGGCACACGCCTGTAATCACAGCATTAAGGAGGCTGAGGCAGGAGGATAGAGAATTCAAAGCCAACCTAGCTAACCAGTAAGACTTTTTTTTAAAACTACAAATAGACCACATCAAGGAACTGTCTCTTATTTCTCTCCTGAATAGTGCACTACTTATATTTAATTATAGATTTGATACAGAGAATCATAGCAGCAATAAATCGTGGTTATTTAAACCCTCACACTCTCTCCCATCTACTTTGATCAGATCCCCATTTTTCAGGAGCATTTCTCTGTGTCTTGAAAACAAGTTGGAATAAACAATGTCTGAGTCTCCTGAAACATTTAGATTTCAAACCAACTTGATACTGACTTAAAGTTAGTTTGAGAACTCCACACAGACATCCTATTTTACCTGGCCAATGTCTTCTCTGTCTTTCAAGTTTATCTCTTCTGATATTGACTTAGCCTTGTAAATAAAGTCTGAAACGTTTGAATTTATTTTAATAGAGTTTGTTATGACTCAGTAATAGTGTAAAATACTAAATACTGTTGCACACTTTTAAGTAGATCTAGATACACTCTACAGGTTTTAGCAAAACCGAATAAAAGCTAAACATCTCTCAATTGTCCTGATCAACATTCAGAAATATAATTTAGCAGTTTTTAATTTCTTCACATACCAGAAAAATAGAAAGGAAAAGCTAAAGTATTGGTTTAATATTTTGTACCTGTATTCCAAGAGCTAAAATCTAGCATGCTCTTGAAGTATTTAATATTTAATATTTGAGATCTTAAATAAGGTGATTTTTGTTGGAGAAATTTGTATGATTAACCAATTTCTGTAAGGTTTTAGTCCAAAAAATAACCAAGTACACCCTACTAAAAATATTTACATATTGAGAAACTAAAGTAAAACACATATTTAAGGATTGGTGATTCATTCATTCTATCCAGGAGACTAAAGACCCCAAACCGTAAAGCTTGCAGGTTCAATGTTTATTTTTACAAGGAAACCAAAAGAGGCATGAGAGTTGGGGAGTATAGAAAGAAATAGCTCCTGTGATGATGTGACTAAAAGCTCCACATGCTCTGTCATTCACAGATGGGATTAAAGTAGTCATTTCATTTTCAACCCTCCAGTCCACTGTCCGGCATAACCCAAGGGCATGTGTCAAAACCAAACCACACTTATCTTCTAATACTAGAGAAAGGACATTATCATAGAAGACTGCTCACAGTTATATTTCTCTTGTTAACTGGGGTTATAAATTTTATGTTTCCTTCTTCCTCCATAGGACCTGATTGCAGATCTGAAGGAGCAACTTTCATCTCACTTCAAAGAAGTGATGGTGGGCCTGATGTACTCCCCACCAGCTTACGATGCTCATGAACTCTGGCACGCCATGAAGGTAGTGATTGACCCAATAGTACACCTGCGTCAGGCACGGACTGATCCAATAATACATCTATGACAGGGACAGGCTCAGATTTCAACAGAGACTTCCTCAGGATGGTCCTGTAGTTTATGAACGGGAAGACAAAAGAGAATATCTAATATGTACCCATGACAACTGTGGTAAAGAGAAGCTTTCTGGGAAAATGGCATCTCTGAGACAACAGGCTGGGGCCAGCCTTTTCCTTGGTAGTAGTGACTCAAACATAGTCATCTCGAAGCTTAGCTTCAACAGATATGAATGAGTTACTCCTCAGAGCTGCTCACTTTTGTCTTTCTTCCATGTGTGTTCTCAAGTTGAGGAAAATGTGCTTAAAATCACGAGAATCATTTAAATTTACTCATAAACATTGACCTAGGAATCAAAATTTACGAGTGAATCAGAAACAAAGTGTCAAGGATATTGTTATTTTTATGTCCTTAAATTAAATACATATGGGAAATACTGCTGAGGTGCATTAAAATTTTACTTCTAAGGAATTATGACCTTACAGAAAAGTCGTTTTCATGAAATGAATTACAGATTTTTTTTTCTTTTCGTTTCTTTTTTTTTTTTTCGAGACAGGGTTTCTCTGTTGCTTTGGAGCCTTGTTGTGTTAGGAGCAGCGGGGTACGTTCCCTGGCACCCGGCCGCCCACACAGCCAGCTTTACCCAAAATAATTACACGGAAACTGTATTCTTTTAAACACTGCTTGGACCATTAGTTCCAGCCTCTTATTGGCTAGCTCTTACATATTGACCTAACCCATTTCTAATATTCTGTGTAGCTCCATGAGCTGGCTTACCAGGGAAGATATTAACCTGCGTCTGTCTAGAGTGGGAGAATCATGGTGACTCCCTGACTCAGCTTCTTTCTTCCAGCATTCTGTTCTGTCTACTCCGCCTACCTAATTTTCTGTCCTATGAGGGCCAAGGCACTTTCTTTATTAGTTAACCAATGAAAGCAACAGATAAGATACAAGACCCACCTCCATCAGAGCCTCTCCTGGAACTAGCTCTTGTAGACCAGGCTGGGCTCGAGCTCACAGAAATCCGCCTGCCTCTGCCTCCCAAGTGCTGGGATTAAAGGCGTGTGCCACCACCGCCCGGTGAATTACAGATTTGTTACAGATTTTATTGTGTGAGGATATAAGAGAAAGGGGGCCTTGACTTCTTTCAAATGTTGGCATTAGACTCATGGAGACAGTTAAAATTCTTCATTGTGTGCTTTCTTATTTTATTTTATTTTATTGATTTTTATTGAGCTCTACATTTCTCTCTGGCCCCTTCCCCTTCAACCCTCCCCCAAGGTCCCCATGCTCCCAACCCAGGAGATCTTGTCTTTTTTTACTTCCCATGTAGATTAGATTTATGTATGTCTCTCTTAGTGTCCTCATTGTTGTCGGAGTTCTCTGGGACTGTGATTTGTATACTGATTTTCTTTGTTTTATGATTAAAAACCATTTATGAGTGAGTACTTGTGATAATTGTCTTTCTAGGTCTGGGTTACCTCACTCAAAATGATGTTTTCTAGCTACATCCATTTTTCCTGCAAAATTCAAGATGTTGTTATTTTTCTTTGCTGTGTAGTACTCCATAGTCTGTTTTCTAAACACCAGATCGCTACAATATGTGACAGAGATGAGGTTTAAGCAAGAGACAAAAAAATTAAAGACACATTAATTTTAATTATAATATTCACTGATCAGGACAGTGATTTTATAAAATTCCAGTCAATTCCAGCTAAATCACATTTTTTTCAAATTTTACATGCCAATCCTATTTCTTGTGAAACTATATGCTAGGAAACTGTAAGAATGAGATCATATGTGACTGTTTGGAGGGAATTAGCAAGATTTCTCAACACTTCACAAAATGGTAAGGTGTCCCAAGGACTTTCTGCAAGAGATGTGGCACCTTTAAGACCATGATCTCAGATTGGAACCTTGTATGTTCTAAGATATGCTCTTGTATGCAGAACACAGCCAGTTTCAGTGCTGTGGCAATCTGAGCACAGTTCCCCAGCCAGAGGGATGCAAGCATAGGTCACCAAAATATACTCAATAAATTATTAGACCTGTGTTTTCTAACTTCAAAATACTTAAGAGCTGGTATTCCAGCAACACATGGAGTTTCAAATTCCACTCCAGAGGAAAGCTGAAGCACTTAGTGGCTTTTACTGTGTTGATTGGGAGTGCCCATGCTGTTGTTTTAGGTCAAGGAAGGAAATTCCAGCAGACAGACAACATCATCTTTCCAGGGACATCAAACAATGGACAGTTGACACAGACCTGAGAGTGAGCGGAGTTTTATCCTGAACGCTCTTTCTTTCTTCTCGGCCACCTCTAAGAACACCATGAATGCTTTGTTCTTGTATAGAAAGTAATCTATTGCTCCAAATAAAAGTGTCTTCATATTTCTCTCTGACTTTCAGGGTGCAGGCACTGATGAGAACTGCCTCATTGAAATATTAGCTTCAAGAACAAATGGAGAGATTTTCCAGATGCGAGAAGCATACCTTTTACGTAAGAAAATACATGAATAAGTATATATTATGTACATGTGCAATTACACTTTTCAAGCAACACATAAAAGTATTTAATTTTATATATTTTACATCCTTTTAAGTCACCACTCTGGTTTATTTTTTTTTTTACTGTGATAAAACACTGACCAAAAGTAGACAGGGGCAGATTATTTGACCTTCAGGTCCAAGTCCATTTTGATAAAAGTCAGTGCAGTAACTCAAACAGGAATCTGAAGGAAGGAAATGAAGCAGAGATTGTAAAGGAGCACTCCCTACTGACTTGCTTCTCCTGACTTGCTCAGTAACTTATCTTGTATAGCCCTGACCCATCTGTGCAGAGATGGCACCATCCACAATAGGCTGTGCCCTCCTACCTTGAGTAGCAATTGAAAAAATTCCACTACAGACGTACCGACACACGAGTCTGAAATCATTTCTTTAAATGAAGGTCCCTCCTCCCAGATGAGTCAAGATGACAACCAAGATTAGGCAAGACAGGTTCTCTGACAATTGAATCATGACTCACTGGAATAGAATGGGTTTTTGGAAGCCCTGGAGTAGGTGGGAGGAAGGATGGGGAGGTTGATCCCCAGGTATATTGTCACATACTGGAGGAATAAGTTCTGACAGACTATTGAACAGGACAGTGAAGAACAATAATAATAATGTATTTTATACCTCAAGGTAACCAACTGAGAGGAGTGGTTGCATCAAATAATAATAACTGATGGACAGCATTACACAATGTACTCATGGGTTTTACCATTATATTGTACGATATAAATATATACAACAATTACGTATCAATCAAAAGACTAAAATATGGAAGCCAGTAAATATAATGAATGCTAATCACTCAAAACCAATGTGTTCATTAATTAAAAATAATTATTATTATGCTGAAAATGGAATAATTCCCTAGGAAATCAAGCAAATTTTCCTTAAGTGTGATTAAAAATATCTATGAGGTAGATGCTTTAGTATGACAGGAAGTGCCCCGCACCTTGATTCAGATGTGTGTTATCCTTTACCCAATAGACATCTTGAGTATAAACAAAATACAGCAAGCAATAACCATTGCTCAACAAATACACTTTCTTACTTAATATCACCATCCCTACAAATTACCTCAAAATTAAACATCTTCACATTTTAAACTAAAAAGGCAATAATTTTCATATTAAAAATATGTAATGCCTTGATTTCTGCACCATGGTATATTGTGAACATTGAGAATTCCTTACAGTCAACCATCATACTTCAAAAAAAAAAAAAAGAAAAGAAAAAAAGAAAAGAAACCCAAGACTTTCTTAAGGGGAATGAAATAACTTTCACTTGAAACATTGAGATGAGATGGAGCACTTAGGGAAAATGGTTAGCCCAGCCAACAGTCTACAACATGATAAAAAAAAAATCTACAGAATGAGAGACTGACAAGTGATTTCCAATCTTCCTTTTCAATGTTGGCTCAAAATTAGCTCTTCAGTAAAACAGGTGTAGGCTAATATTACCATTAGAATACAAGTGTTTTTGACATAGTTTATGACACAAAAAAAAAAAAACGGAAAACTGACTAATGGCGCCCTCATCTTTAATATTCAGTAGCATTAACTATATAAAGCCCAATGATATGAGGTTCTGTAATAACCTTTTAACATGGATATTTTATTACTCAGAATACAGCAATAACCTTCAAGAGGACATTTATTCAGAGACCTCGGGACACTTCAGAGATACTCTCATGAACTTGGTTCAGGTATGACATTGCAAAATCATAACATTTTATACTCTTTAAAATGAGCACATTTCATCCTCACTAAATATGACAGAAAACCAGTTTATTACAGTTCATTCATACATTCTATGTAACAGCATTTACTATCAGCAAAGTTCGAATCACTTATTTTAAAACTTGACTCACACATTTCATACATATGAGTGTCAATTCTGTCTTAAAACATTGTAAATCTACTATGTTCCAAATTATTACAAACACATATATATGAATAAATGATTATTTAGAAAACTTAAAATTTTACTTTTTATTTATAACTTGAATTAGAAATCAAGTCCAGATTTTTTTGCAACTAAAATATTTTATGTGTACGGGTGTTTTATCTACATGTATATCTACGCACCACATGCATGCCTGGTGCCCACAGGTGCCAGAAGAACTCATAAGATTCCCAGAAGTTGGGGTTACAATGGATGTGAGCCAACATGTAGCTGCTGAGAATTGAACCCAAGTCCTCAAGAAGAACAGCTAGTGCTCTTAACCTCTGTACTATCTCTGTCCAATCCTCTATCCAAAAAAATTCTTAGAAATATTTTGTAAATAAAAAATCAAAGAGACATATATATAGTTTAGCAACAAAATGCTTTCCTAACCAGCACAAGCACCTACGTTTAAGGTCCAGCAGCACAAAAGTGTGTGTGCATGAGTGTATATGTGTGTGAGCATGTTTGTGTGTGTGCATGTGTGAGCATGTATGTATGTATATATGTGCACCAATTATCCAAGAAGCCAGTACAATGAAATGCAGAATTGAATTTGCTCTTATTGTATTTTACTGCCAGCAAAAGATCTCAATATACCCTTTACAAATTCTATTATACTATACATTACCAAAGAGGAACCGTAGTTCAAATTAAAATTATATCTTGCTATTTAGCTTCTTTACTATAATGAATAAATGGTATGCAATTATTTCTATCCAATTAACAATTCTCTGCAACATTCCACAAATTAATTGTAATAACAGTAATATTTTAAAGTAATCTTTAAATCTTTTAGTTTTATATCTGCCTTTGAATGTTCATGTCATCCTGTCGAGTAGATATGTGTTCAGTAACTTAAGTAGAGTTAGTTTTTAGTACTTAAACAGTAATAAAAAAGTACAAAACCTTTCAGGTTCAGAAGACATCTTGAAGGCCATGGACTTTTCTTTCATTTTAGGAAATGCGTGTTATGGTGTGGATGCTTTGGTATGTATGTTATACTGATTGTGTTTTGGTGGGTGTATCTGTTATAGTGTGCCTAAAGTAAAACAACAAATTATGAATCTGCAAGCTTTTCCTTTATAAATCAAAAATATCAGCCCAGTAATTAGCAAAGCAGATTTATTAGCCATGGAAACAGAAAAGGCACTAAAAGTTATAGAATTCCATTCACAATAGTGTGCATTGGAGAAAAGAATCCACTGCCTTTGAAGAAGAGAGCATAAATAAATGTCCTTTACAATAAAGTAAGAAGAGAAGTACCCAGGACATACATTCTTTTTCTTTAATTATTATTTTTATATTTTTAGATTAATATAATTACAATGTTTCCACTTTCCCTTTATTCTCTCCAAATCCTTCAATATATCCTCCTTCTGTATATTAAAAAATATGACCTCTTTTTTATTCATTGTTGGTGTGTGGGCGTGTGTGTGTGTGTTCCTAATGTATGACCTGCTCAGACTGGAACTGGAGGAATTGACAAGAGTACACCTGATGGCTACCAAGACGCACATCCTTTCTGGAGAATCACCAGATGGAAATTCAATAGTCCGTGGAGTCTACCCTCCTTGAAGGCTCAATTTTGACAAATTTACAAAATCAGGTCATCAGGTTCAACAAGACTTTTCCCCATGAAGACATTTCACCAGCTCTCTGAATTGCTTAACCTATACATTTCTGTGGCTTTTTCCTCTCGTCCTTTATTACTCTTGGCTTTTTGTGATCTTCCATGGAGTCTACCCTCCTTGTAAATTTTGACAAATTTACAAGGGCCAATAGCTTACTCATAAACTAAATAGCCAGTTTTTTTTTAAAAAAAATATAAGTTCCTTAAGTCTTTGAAAATTAACAATCCTGAAAACTTTGAAGAATCATGACCTACCCAGTCACAGTTAGACTCATGCTCAATTACCCACACTCCGAACTTTTTGAGATGTATGTTTTAGATTATTTATTTTTGCATTCTTGCATCCCCATTATGTCTCTTTATTTCATAACTGTAAGTCTCTTAGCAATAAAACGAGCCAATTATTACTGTAAGGTCAAGTTATATCACGTTCTTCCCTTTCAAGTACTCTGCAACTCTACAGTCACATAGTTTGGCATTTACAAGGATTTCCGCCTTCTAGCTCTTAAAAGAATCAGATTTTTAAACTTCCTCTCTCTTCTTTAACTTCAGTTTGCAAGACAACTCATTCCTTACTGTGTTCAGCTCCTGTTTTTAATGCCTGCTTAACAGCATAGGAGAAATAAATTCCATTTCTCAAGGTCACGTGAAGACCTGAACAGTCTCTTCTGATGAGAGCGTCTCCCCCACAAGTTCTGGCCCCTTTGCTCATTTTATCTACACATTCTTTAAGTCACTTCACCCTCCAGGATCAACAACATAGTGGAGGGTTCTGCATGGAACATTTGGAATTTTGTTATATTGGATAGAGTTTTTCCCCTTAATTTTAATTAAAACATTCTCTAAATTTAGAACGAAGATCACTTTTTTTTTTTTTACTGTAAGGTAATGATGCTATGTAATATAAATTAAAACAACAGTTTCCAGGGATTCTTCTATATAGCTGAATTATAACTGAGCAAGAGGAAAAGATAATTGATCTATTTATCTGTCTATATATCTATGTTGTGGGTGTGGGTGTCTGTGTGTGTGTTTGTGTCTGTGTGTGTATATATATGGATTTATCACTTGACTTAAATTTTGAGACTTAGATTGCTGTTTACCAAATTCATGAATATGAGTTAATTCTTCTTTCAGTTCTTGCACAGTACAAATATTTTTACCTTTCTTCAGTGGTGGCAATCACAACATCACATCCCGTGTGCACCCTCATTTTCAGAATTAATGGAAAGGTTGTTCGCAGATTTACTTCTTCAAACATTAAAACTCAGATATACGTTTTCAGCATATGAATGGAGATATAGACTTAGAACATAAGAACTTGAAGGTATTTGTGAGCTGCAAAGGGTGAAAACCACTGCTATGGTTTCTGGGAGGAAAATCTTGTACTTTGTCTACACAGGGTTTTCTGCCAAGAAACAAGTGAAGGGAAACACACTCATCTTGAAAAAACTGATGCCAGTGATTAAGCTGTCCCACACACTTCCTGCAAGCTTTTAGTACTCTTTATTTATGGAAGGTCTAATTATCTGTCAAATAAAGAAGGATTAGTCTCTTGGGGATTAATTAATCAACATGTGCAAATTACATTGTGGAGAAGTATTTTCTCATAGAGATGGGAAGCACCCTGATTAAATACTCCAGGCTTACTCCTCATCTTGACTCACAGGATTCTCAGGAGGGCCCTTTCTGGAATCTGTACACTGATGCATCCATGGCACTAATGCTATTCTCCTTCTGTTATCAAGTGTAGTCAGGTTTCTGCTTCTAATTTCTCTCTCTTTTTATCTTTCCCTTTACTCAAACACTATTCTCATATACAGATGGTTACCACTGCAAGTTAGATATTCAAGATGATCACCTTTCTAAGCAAAAGCCCATATAATTAGAACTGCAGAAAATCTCTAGCTAGTTCTCCCATTATTTGTAAATGAAGGAGTTTAGCTGCATAGTTAAAGATTACACTTCAAAGATCCAGAAAGCAAACATAAAAGTCTGCCATCCAAAAGCATTCTTTGACTTACCTAGGACGATTTCCTTGTTACTTACAATGTGACAAATATGATTTCTGACAATTCAGAATCATCAGAAAACAAAGGAGACAAAGTCTTTAGGTCTTGTGAAATTCACATTTATCTAAGCAAATTAAACTATTAGACAATAATGAATAAGGACTTTATAAAGGACTTTGAAAGAGATGAAAAATGTATCCAATCAGGAAGTAGAAGACAGAAATTGTAGGGCTGGGCAGAGTGGGTAAGCTGAATTGTTGTATAGGCTAAACTGAATAATTTTTAATGAAGCCAAGGCAAAGAAACAAAGACTACATGACGCCCAGTAATGAAAGCACTGAGGGGAAAAAAGACAAAATTACACAAAAGCCTGTCAAAACTCAAATAAGATAAAAACTAACAGTTACTGTGATAACATTGTCAAATAAATAGTATACATTATAAATAGTAAAACAAATAATGTTTTAATTGTTTCCACTTTTTTGTAAATTAAAATTTTTAGAGGAAATTTGAAATAGAGCCCAAGGATATTGGTTGTTTGGAATGAATATCCATATGATACACTAGAAACCAGAGCAAACAATGCCATTGATATTTAATGATTGTCCTTCTCTAACTCTTAGGCCAGAGACAATTGATTTAATAATTCTAAATTTATTTATTTTTATCTCCAAAATAAGGTAGAAATGTAAGACTGCTAGGGATCTTTCATTGCCATATATTTATAACTTACAGATAAAATGATACCCATAATCCCACTGGCTAGTAAAATCACTTTCATTCTTTAGATGCTGTCTCCTGTTCCTGAATTTTCAGGACTACAAATTTAGTCATTAAAAAAATGTAAGATTTATTTATTTGTGAATAATTATGCTTTTCTAGATGTGTCTAGATATGTGTTCGCAAAAAATAGAAGAATGCTTAATATTTAATTTAATACGGCAAATTTAATCCATCCAATACTTTGAGCAGTCAAACTGTATGGATACATATTCAATCTCTTTGATAATTGAGTTGGCTACTCAATTCCATGTTCTCTCTCTATCACTTCTTCTTTCCAAGAAGCTACTAGGTAGAAAGGTGTGTATATGTGATTTAAGGATAAGACGTCTTGGCAAAGGATGGTTTCTCAAATAGCACTGATATTTTCTGCATCCTTTATTATCTTGATTTTGAAATTACAGGTCTGAAAAACCCTGAAGAGATGATGTAAGGTTTTACTGTCCATGAACTATGTGGAGGTTTCTTAGTACTAACTCTACAAACATACAGATAGTTAGCTAAGGATGCTTTCTCTGTTTGTTAGGTCAAAGCTAATTTAGCCTCATCTATACCTTCTTAGCATCTGAGGAGTCCTGGCTAATGTCCAGCCTTGTCTCCTATGCAATTCTAGTCAATGTTTTCTCAGTACAGCCTTTGAATTACTGTCCTTGTAATGATCATAACCAACACCATTATTCAGGCTTCGCCACCAGTTTCTTAACCGAAGTGTAAGTTCATCTAACAAGAAGCATATAAGAAAATTGAGGTACTATTCATGTTATTTATAAGTTGAGACTAATTCAGAACTAATTCCAATGTTATCCACTTTAGAGAGACACACGCACATGTGCACAGTCGCATGTGTACATGCGCGCGCACACACACACAAACACCTTCCATTCTCACTGACTTCACTGGCATGAGCGCTTACATGGCAGGGAAAGGCATTGTATCCTTAGTTTTCTCTCATACTTAGTCATTTCCCTCTCCATACTTTAACTCAAAAAAATGAAATTAACACTGATCACAAACTTCTCCCCTCTCTCTGCTGTCTTGCTTGACCCTGATGATGACTGGGTCTTACATTGTTTAGTCCTTCTTCCTTCTGTTTGGAAGGGCAAATGGACTCTATTTTTTATATGATAGAGTGGGGGTTAAAAGATTTTACAGAAAATTCTCATTTGCAAAGCCTATACTTCATTACTATTTGGTTGTTATATAAATCCTGTTTACAAGCCAGATACTACTATATCTACACCATTGCATTAACAGTCTTAAACTCCATCACTACCTCCTCTGCCAAAGGGATAGATGCTCATCATGATGAAGCAAAATAACTCATGGAGATAGGAAAGGGAAAAATCACTTCAATGTTTTTCACCAAGTTCTTCTGTTGCAAAGAAAAGCTCAAAAAGGAACTCCTTACAAAATTACACACTAATTCCTCACGTGTTGAAGTATCCAAATCAATAACAGAGATTGCAAAGGAGTCACCATTGATTGCAAGTTCTGGGATTTTTGCCCCAAGAGTTCTATATTGTTGTTTGCCATTTTGATTGCATTCTGATTCCCTGAAGACTGAAAATAAAGTTTGTTTTGAGTAAGAGAGCAGAGATAACTGTCCAAAATTGATTATAGAGGTTTGAAAAAAAAAACAAACAGGGGACAGGTAGAGAGAGAGGAAGTAGTTTGGTGGGGCTTAGAGAGGGTCTTGGACCTTTTGGTTTGAGGAGGTGAAGTGATGATAGATTCCTGATGATTTCTCTCTCACTTCTTACCACAATATCTGACTCCCAATTTTTTACTAATAAAGAATAATTAGATAAATGCTTCACTATATGTTCTGTATATTGAGACCATCTAAAAGACCATCTCGCTTATTTCCCAGGGAAACAGAGAGGAAGGATATGCAGATCCTGCCATGGCTGCTCAGGATGCAATGGTAACTAAGTCTGGCTGTCCCCCTGACTAATAGAGCTTTTGATAGAGCGAATGGGGCTGGTTTTGACTCCTTCCTAACTGTGCGATGTTGCAGGTCCTGTGGGAAGCTTGCCAGCAGAAGACTGGGGAGCATAAAACTATAATGCAGATGATCCTATGCAACAAGAGCTCCCCACAGCTCTGGCTGGGTAACTAGAAACAGGCTCTTTACAGCTCTTTAACCAATTGAATGACATACAAGTAACTAGCATGAAAGAGGGACTGTCACTCAGCAATAGAGAATTATGTCTCTACAGTATGCCTCATTTAATGGAATTGCTAAAGAATAAAACTTTACCACTAAATTTTCTTCCAATAAATAAATCTCACAGCTTTCACATACAGGCTCTTAAAAATTGCCTATACCAGGTAGTTTATATTGTGTCTTGAATAATCTCCAGTGAGCTTACTGTGGCCAGCCCCTCTGTCAAAGTTGTTGTTTTATGAAATATCTATACTGCCTCCTGGTCTTTGAGATTTGGTCACATTAAGCCACACTTGACTTTCTCCAAACTCTGCACCTTTCTTTTCCATTATTATAAAACTGATTAAATACGTTTAAATGAAAAGTAAAGTCCTATCAATTTTAGCAATGGCCTACTCTAATTAAAATATGCCTCTTTTACTTTATGTGAGTTAAAAATTAATACTAACAATAACAATACTTCTTCACATCTAAGTTGAAATGACTGAGGACTGAACATTGCCAAAGATAGGGCCAACTGAGTAAACTCTTTAAAAAAGGGAATTCATTGAATGTTATTTTATGTTAGTTAATGAAGCTGCGAATGGTAATCTTCTGTTCCTCAAAATCACTCTTCCAAACACTATTCCTAAACATGACTCAGAGGACTTTTGTGTTTAGCTTTTGTATTTAAGCTCTAAAAGAAAGTTTCCTGTTGGCAAATGAATTTAGACTGTTGTTATATATGTCTTATGGAAATTCATCATAGACAATAGCTCACTCTGTGCCTTCCCTCCGTCTAAATCAGTTTTTGAGTCATTGAGTCCCAGTAGGGGTAACCATTGTTCCTCAGCTCAGCAATAGCAGGTCCTTAGAGTCCGTGGTTCATGGAAGTTTTTGCATCTCATAAGATCTATACTTATTGCAAAGAGTAGATTCTTTGCCACAGTGGGTAGCAGCACTAGGAAATGCTTTAGTTCTAAACCATTATATGTATAGTAAAATAGCCATGGTTTAAGGTTTAAGTTTATGATATTTATAAAAATCTGTTTTGAATTGCATAAATTTCTTGTAGTTTTCCAGGAATTTCAAAATATTTCTGGCCAAAGCCTGGTGGATGCCATCAATGACTATTACGATGGCTACTTCCAAGAGCTGCTGGTTGCAATTGGTAAGCTATATTTGTTTTATAATGAACAACTGACCTTTCATTCCACAGTCAATACTGACGAGTTCTGACTGGATTAACTGTGCATGAGTAGGATTTATGAAGCATTTTTCTCCATGAAATTATTTGGAAAGTTCTATAAACTCCAGGAAAGTTCATGAGCTAGGGGTTTGATGCAATGAGATAGTAAGCTGGAGACATTAATGAACTACCATAATTCCCTAAAATAGGCTCAAATTTTGTATGACAGAAGAGAATCTTCAAATACCCTGTCCCAGGAAGCAAATTGTCACAGGTTTAAATCTATGTTAGGATCATTGACATCCACCCCCTTGTCAGGAACAGATGAATGCTAACAGTGTGACTCTTGTCTCCGAGAAGAAAAGATATTTTCAAATTTTACTTTTGATTTTATTATTTTATTATCTTTAATAAATTTTATTTTAGGAACAAATCATATTATCAAAAACCCTAAATAGTTAATTAGCAGTAAGTTCCACAGGCATTCTTCCTGAATGTTATTGAAAATGATATGCGCACTGTAGAAAAGGTCATTGCTCTTATTATCATAGTGACTATTCCAGTGTTCATGTTTTACCATGTAGTCTGTGGCTTTGCCGCCCACACTTCAGGAAAGGTACATAAGGAGTCATTGTGAAATGCTCCTTAATAGGTTCAAAAAATGAACACTTTGATTGGTGTTGAATAAACCATTGTTGTGAGTTTTCCATACCAAGAATGTCTTGCCATAGAGCGGAGAGGTCAAAACATTTTTATGAATTAACCAGTAAGCAAATATCGTATGAAAATGATTTGGTGGGTTTTGTGAAACCCCTAAAGATGAGTGATGGAGTTGGTTATTAGTATGAATGTGTCTGAGAAAGAAATACATTTATATTCCATCATATTCCCAATAGATTTAATAGGCATTCATCACGTGTCAGCTAATTAGCAACAAAGTTAGAATAGAACTCAAATTGTTGAAATCTCAAAGCAGCCCAAACAGTGAGTCTGACAGGGACAGAGTGGACATCAGGAACACCAGGAAAGATTTAGCTGGTTCATTCCATCAATTAATATTGAATGATTGCTTACTCTGTCTCTAATTGGGTACTTGAGATAGAATATCAAAGCAACAAAATAAAAATAACAACAGATGCCCAAGCCCCCTAGGAACTTGCCTTCTAGAAGTGACTTAAGATTAGTTATTAGGTCTACTTCTTTCTGTAATGAAAGTTAGACAAAAATGAAGATCTCATGATCAAAACTATTACTTAAACTAAAGAAAAGTTAATAAGATTTTATTTTGAAGAAACAATATAGCTCCTCATTTATTACTTATGTATGCGATGAATCTATGTACTTTTTCAAACATGACTATTTGATGGTTTACAGTCTCAACGGATACCACAAGGACAACTGATGGGAAGGCTCCAGGCTGTTTAAAGCCATGGCAAGCTTAGTCAAATAATATCTAACACTGGAGAAGAACACTTTACATTTGTTACAGCTTCTCCTTAAAGGACCTCTCATCTGGTTACAAATCTATAAGGAATCTGATGCCACTCCAAGAGCTCCTAGTTTATATCAGTTTTAAAGACTATATGAATAGGCAACATTTGGGAACATAAATAGATTGTATGTGTGAGTGTTTTAATATTTAACACAATATTTTTTGTTTGTTTTTCGAGACAGCATTTTTCTGCAGATTTGGAGCCTGTCCTGAAACTGCAGGCTGGCTTCGAACTTGCAGAGATCTGCCTGTCTCTGCCTCCCAAGTGCTGGCCTTAGTGGCATGTGCCACCACCAACTGGTTTAGCACCACATTTTTTAAAAAAATAGTAATAATGGTCATAAGTTTAGTTAAGATCATTTGTCATTTTAAAATACAGTGTTGACAGTGTATATTTTTTTTACTAAAGTACGGCTCATGCTAACATTATTCTAAGTATTAAAATTGTAATGTGGTGCCATGAATCTGGAAGATTATAAAAGTGTTCTATTTATTCTTTTTCTCAACTTCTGAAGAATTACATCTTATTGAAATATCTTCCTTGCTCTCTACCTCTCTAGTTCGCTGTGTCCAGGACAAAGCAAGCTATTTTGCATATAAATTATACAGAGCAATCCATGTAAGTAAAACATATCTTAAAATTCATCTAAAATTAATATATATTATTTTTATTTCAAAGAAATTGTTTTTAAGTAAAAAGAAGTGAGTTAAACACCAAAGCAAAATTTATCAAATACAGATGAGTCACATAAGACATATGTGAGATGAGTCATACAGCATAGGCACTTAAAACATAGGGATTTCAGAGTATATTTCCTTCAAGTAGTTTAGAGTCTGAACATTTATATAAACCAATAATTCATATGCATTCGGACATATTCAAAGACCCTACATCATGTATATGTAAACACAGAATATATGGCAGAAAATTCCAAATATTGTAAACTCACAGCCCAAAAAAAAGACCAGTTATAATTTTTGAAGTTTGAAAACAAAATATTGGTACTTGTTTTTAGTGTACAAGTACTTTATGTCAAAAATACTATAAAATATCATTAAATAACAATAAAGCCTAGAGCTATTTTTTTGTAAATAACTGATAGTGTTATCCATGTCAATAGCACACACTGTAGTTGTTCATGCTCTGGTGTGGAATTTAGCTGCACACCCTGTACCAGTCCAGTTTAAAGACACAAACACTTAAGCTCATCAGATAATTGACCCCTTCTCCATCATGTTCTGACATTGTCTTAAAGAGGAAAAAGGATGGACTAGTGAGATGGGTCCGTACCTCCATCTGAGATGGCTTCCAAGCCTGACAACTTGAGTTCAATCCCTGACACCCACATGGTGCAAGGAACAACTCCAAGTTGACCTCTAACCTCCAAAGGTGTACTGTGGTATACACACACACATTCGCGTACACACATGCACACCAATGCACACATGTACACACACCCAAACACAGAACACATGTACACACACAAACCAACACACCTGCACATACAATACATATAAACACACATATACCTACACACACATACTCATAAAACACATACACACACAAACCAACACATATACACACAGAAACCTAAGCACATACACATACATAACATATATGAACACATGCACACACAATATATAAACACACATGTAAACATGTACAAACATGCACACAGAGACACACATAATGAAACATGCACACACAAGAACACACAAATAATGTAATAAAAGTCTAAAGAAAATATCTTACATACATACATCACATACCCTTGAAGTAAAAAAACTTTTAGTAAAGGTAATAGTATAGTGATTTGAAAAAAGTATATAAAATTTTAATGATCAAAATGTGTTGTTCATAAAGCAATTTATTTCTCTGTAGTATATATTATTTGTACAAAAGAACAGGTTTCATTATGACATTTTCATGCATGTAAGTAAAGAATTACCAAAAATATTTTACAAGCCAACTTCTTGATATTTTCCAGCATGTTGGATCATTATGCTAAAAGTTAACAACATTTTTATTATGTGTCTTGAACATAGTAGTTAACTTATGCATAAGAATCTACATAGCCTCAGAACGCAAGAGAAAAATGATTGTAGCTTTTTTGCATTGTGCAAAATAGCATCGTGAGCAATGCTGTAAGATAATTCAATAATTCCTCTCCAATGAGCCATGACTGTGCCTCCAGACTAAAGCTTCCCCTGTGAATTACCGTGGGCAAATAATCAGGGTTTTTTTTTTATTCCAGCTATGCCCTGATTAGGTAAAATTTATTTTAATGACTTATAAATTAAATCATAAGCCTATATGTTTTAGGTAGAAAAAATCTTATATTGATAAATAGTTTGCTGTTAAAGTCAATTACATATAAGTAACCCAAAATGTTTTTTTTTCAAAATTAAATCACTGCCTGGTTCATTAGGTCTAGCTTCTTATTTGCTAACTCTTACATCTTAATTTAACCCATTTCTATTGAACTGTGTATCACCACAAGGCTGTGGCTTACTAGGTAAAATTTCTGCATGTCTTACTCTGATGGAAGATCTATGGCATCTCACTGACGCCACTTCCTTCCAAAATTCAGTTCCATCATCCCCACCTACCTAAGTTCTGCTCTATCAACAGGCCATAGCAATTTCTTTATTAACCAATGAAAGCAACACATAGACAGAGGATCTCCTATACGATTTCCCTTTTTCTGTTTAAACAAAAAGCAAGGCTTTAATTTTAACATAGCAAAACTATATATAACAAAACAGGTATCAAACAAGAACTACTGTTACAGTATTTATATCTACTTTATCTTTATCATAACTAAGGAAAACTATTACTATAACAATAACTTCTTCAACTCTATCAAAGACTCCAGAAAAATATAATATTACCTAAGTTAACAGGAGGTGCATTGTAAGTAACTTCCAAAACTCTAGAATTGACAGAGATATTTCGCTGCCTGGACAGTCACCCAAAGATTTTCTGTATCATTGGGGCAGTCATCTTCATGCCTATCAGGCCCACGGTATCCAACAAACTTTCTCATGAAGAAGGACATTTCAAAGAGAGTTCAGTCACTTTCTTATGTATGCTATAGAATATCTTGCAGACTCTTTCGTGAAGCAGGAACCCTTAAGGATTATCTCACCTTTACACAACTTCAGCAGTCATTTTTCTGTGGGTCCTGCATGTCCAGTTTCTTGCCCAAATGGCTAACCAACTCCACAAGGAGCCTCTTTGATACCCATTTTCCTCTTGAAGTAGATTGATTGGTGCTGCCAAGAGCAGATGTGTATCACTATCATGAAAAGTCCTAAGTTCTTAAACATTTTAAAATGCCATATTCTGAAGGTCTCTGAAATATTTGAAGAATACCTAACTGAAACTGAAACATATCTTTATAACATCTAGAAAATCTAACTAACATGACTTCAAGCTTGACTATTATAGATGATTATCTATTAACCTATATTTTTTAATTATACATTACATTTTTAAATGAGCTACACAAACACAATACCTTAACCAAAATCAGAAATACATATACATATAATGAAATTGACCTTAAATTTGTATCAATAAAATAAGATTCATATCAATGCAAATTATTCATATCTATATCATATCCCCCTTTAAATTGTGAGATGGAGCATTTGAGTGGAGTTTGTGAGCAGACTGCTACAGCTTGCTTGATGGTGGCATGGATTGGCTGTGTGCCAAGATGTAGGGCGGTGCACATGGCTCAGAGGTGCAATCAGCTCTGACATGCTGGACTGGGCAAGGCAAGCAGACAATGCCATATTACCCCTAGCAATGATGCAGCTTAAGTTGCAAGTAAGTATTAGCAATCTGTTTTTATTTTCCAAAAATTTTTTTCATAAAAAAACTCTAAATGACTGACATTTTAAAAATAAAAACTTGTTCAGATAATTTATTTTAATCACTTCAAATCATTGATTCTTTTTTGTTTTTTTTTTTTCATCAGCACTCAAAACATTCTTGAATAAAAGCTAGATTATTTTTAAAAAAAAAAAAAACAGCCTACAAACTACAATCCCAGAAAGACAAGATCTCCGGAGTAATTTGGAAACATGGGTACCTTGTGGAAGGATTCAATGGAGGGAGGGGAGAGGCAGGGAGGAGAACATAGAATAATGTAGAGCTCAATAAAAAATCAATTTTAAAAATGAAAAAAGCTAGATTATGCTGACTGACCACCAGATGTCAGCATTATTCCATTTCAGATATTTGAACCATCCGTGCAGCTAGGCCTCAGACATCCCCAAGCTGTGGTTTGGGAGGCATATAGACCTGCGAGTGTATTGCTACTGAAAAGAAAGTCTTAGATGTTGAACAGGCCTTTAAAGTACTGTTTTCTCTACCCACCTTTCTTCACCTTTTAGGACTTTGGCTTCCATAATAAAACTGTCATCAGGATTCTAATCGCCAGAAGTGAAATAGACCTAATGACCATAAGGAAACGTTACAAAGAGAGATTTGGGAAATCCTTGTTTCATGATATCAGAGTAAGCCTTCTCTCCATGTTTGACTTAAACTCACATTTTGTTCTTTCTGAACTATAAATAAAAGCTTTAATTTAATCAGCTTGATGTTGGGATCTAGAAAACTACATATCTGTCAAGGATGGTTGACTCTAAGAGTCAAGTCACAGTTTTAAATGCTTTAACAAATAAATCTTAACCTGTGAAGTCATTGCACCTTGAAAGTAAAACCTTTCCTTCTTTGCTTTTAATAGTCACTCCCTATGACTGTTCTTCAAGGGTTCAGTTCTCACATGAATACACAGGACCACCTGGGTGTGGCCCTTCCCCTGTATTTATAGCTGCAACCTTCACAATAGAATTACTATGTCGCACTCCTAATAGCATCATAGAAGGGGCCAGAGAGTCAGTAAATACCATCAGCTGCTATAATAAAGAATTTTATTAATGAATGTGTTAAGCTGTACATGACCAACCACTTCACCAATCGGAGGGCAGGAAAATAAAAGTTCAAAACTAAGCAAATCAATGTCTTATTCTGATATTTCAAAACTTTCATTAAATGTTTTGTAAAACTTGCCAAAAAAATGGAAAGATATGGGTTATCTAGGTAATCTGAGTGCTCAGTATGAAAATAAAAATGCTTAGTTTTTCCTCCAAAAAAAATCAGAAAGATTTCCAGGAAGGAGAGAATGGAGCATCAGAATGCACACAGTACCTGACTATGTCTTAATTTATACTTTGTACATTCACGTTGCTTTCTAATGTAATTTGAAAGTCACAAGAAAGAACATTTTAGCTCCTTGAATTATGCAAGATATGATTCAGCATCTCAAATATTATAGCCACAAAAGCCAGAAGGTTTTCTAGGACTTTGTACGAGCCAAAGTAATTCTAAGAAATTGACAAATCAGTTAAAATCAAGCTTATTCTTTTTTAATTTTTGATAAAATATTCCTTTGTCTACCTTGGAAATCCAGAGCTACGAGGGACGATGAACACGTACCATTGAGAAATAGTCAGGACTAGATTAGTGAATAAGCAAATGCACATTCATACTTGTCATTATTCCCAGCTGTCTCAATGACAAGTTGGAATAATACAATGCTACTTTGTACTTGTGAACCTTAGTTACACAGAATCATGTAAAATTGCACAGCACTGTGTAAAAGATCAGTAATATGCTAAGTGATTTTTATGAAGGTGACTTCTATAATGACATTCACTCAACCATCTGTACGAGAATATTTAGAGATGGTGAAAGAACATAAGAAGAGAACAAAATTGCCCTAATTCTCTATGGTAGATATCCAGTAATGAAATTTTTTGTAAGCCCTGCTATGACTGGAACATATGTGCGTCCCCAGATCTCTACATTGAAACTCTAATCCTACAGAGAAGGTGTTAAGAGTGTGACCTTTGAGAGTTAAGTCATGAAGGTGGAACCCACGAGCAGTTATTTTCCTTACTGGAAGAAGAAAGCTCCAGGATGTTACTTTGTCCCTTTTGCCATGTCTATGAAAAATATGCTCTCAGTGACAAAAAAAAAAAGTGCTGTCACTTAGATTTTCTATTGGACATAGATTTACAACATCTTAAGCCACCTCATTTATGGAAGCCCTAGGGGACTAAGATACCCACTGTTGATTTCTCTCCAAAGTGCATAAAGAATAACATTTTGCTGTCAAACAAATGATTTTACTAAACCAGGACAACTCCTTGTATAAAACATACTATGAAGTAGAAAAACTATCTTGCATGATTACCCATTGCTTTTCAAGTTCTCATTGATATGAATAATGTTTCATTGATATGTAACACTATGGTGCATATATGTTTATAGATCTCTGTGCTCATCCATAGTTGACAAGAGTTTTAAAATGCATTTCTTTATATGGGATTTTCTGAATTAAAGAGTATAAATATTTTTATATCTTTTGAAACACATTGTCAATGTCCAGAAACCATCAATTAATGTATTAATATTAGGGTGCCAAATCCTAAAACAGAAGAGAAGATTCATTTTTACCATGTTATTGTGCTCACAAATAAACATTAAAGTTCCATCAGTTTTACATAAATCATATTGTACTGAATATAAACACAACATTATTTGTTAATGAATTTCTTCTTGAATTGGGCTCAGAAAATCTTTAGACAAAACCACAAAGCATTTTGTGAAAAATAACAGTCCACAAATTTAACATATGACAATTAGAAGAATTGCAGCTGATATTTGTAAGGATGTAGAGATTTTATTTCAAGTGCCTGTATTTTTTTTCTTTTCAGAATTTTGCTTCAGGGCACTATGAGAAAGCACTGCTCGCCATATGTGCTGGTGATGTGGAAGACTACTAAAATAAGTAAAAAATGGGAGAACTCACAGGTCTTGTAACCCTCCTTACAGTCGCCTCAGATACAGACTGTGGAACCTGCGCTGTTATTGACACTGAAATGCAACTATAGAATCATATTTCTCTTCTATCTCTAAAATTATTCTGAGAAAAAACTACTGTTGAAAATGTAATCCTGTATTTGTACTCCTCCCTCAATTGGTAATTAATTAAATTGTGTGTGGTAGAATAAGAAAAGCATTGCATTGGAGTAGATTTCTTTTAGTCGTGAATCAGTTCCTACCACAGGAAAGTCTGCCCATGACTGTCCTTAGTATCAGTCTGAAAACTATAAAACTGAAGTGTGTGACCACTGTCAGCATGTGACCACCCTCAGCATGTGCCCACCCTTAACACGTACCCACTCTCATGGGAATTGCCCGGACACTTGAACAAACCCAGTAAAGCTGAGGTAAGGCCCCAAAACAGCCTTTAAATGAAAATACCCAAAAGTAAAGTGTACCAACAGGTATACTTACTTGATTAATTAGTTGTGCAGAGATTAGATAGAAAAACAAGGGTTCATGTGCATCTCTGTGTTTACCCTGATTGTGCTAAAGATACTCCAGTAAGACAAATAAAATACTTCTAAAAAGTTCTTTCTTTAATTTTCGAAGGAAGCATAGATGGGCACATGTACCATGGCATATGTGCTCACCAGACTGTCTCTCAACTCATGGCCTCTTTTTCTTTAATTGCTGTTGTATGTGTCCAAAATACATGATACAATCTACTCAGTCTATACAATGTTACTTGCAGATATATGAGATGGAGTCTAACCACTTGGCATTGGATGGCCAGCTGGGAAACTCTTTCCAGGAGAAGCCTATTTCTACTGTTCTCAACATTAATTCATTGCCAACAGTCTTTTTTCCTAGGGCTGTGCCCTCATGAGGTTTTTCCCTTTCATATTTGCATGTTCAGATTTTTTTGGGGCAGGCATGTTTGACAGGACTTCATGTATGTATATTCTTACATTTCTAAGAGACACAATAGCACAGCAAACTTCTTGACCTTCTGGGACTTACAATCTTTCTGTTCATCATCTGTAATTATCTCAAAATCTCAGATCAGGAAATGTGTTGTAGAAAATAGCTAGCCACTAAGGATCATCTGGAAAATGGAATGTGGTCTATGAATGTAAGTATGGGTCACACTTATATTTACACACACATACACACACACGTTAATATATTCAGCTAGTTTTGGAGTTGGACAATTGTTCTGTACTTCTCTAAATACAATCTTAGTGGCTAGCTATTTTTCCTACTGTTAACATTCAAATATCCCAGAGTCTTTGAATTTTTAGTGATGTGTATTTTCCTGTAAAGATAAGAGCAGAACCCTACCCTAACTCTTATGAGCTTTTCTTACCACCTGTATGATTGTCACCATTGTGGATGAGCTGTCATTCCTCTTTTTCAAAATTGCTATAATTTTTATTCTTTTTTATTGTTTTATAAATATTACCATTCAAAATTCCCACTTCTTCCCCTCCTCCCTTTTCCCTCCTGCTTCACCACTCATTCTCCTCCCTCCCCCCTCCAGTCCTACAAGAGAGCAAGGTACCCTGCCCTGTGGAAAATCCAAGGCCCTCGCAACCCCATCCAGGCCTAGAAAGGTGTGCATACAAACAGACTAGGATCCCAAAAAGCCAGTACATGCAGAAGAAACAAATCCCAGTGCCATTATCAATGGCTTCTCAGTTAGCTCCTATTGTCAACCATATTCAGAGAGTCCAGTTTGATCACATGCTCATTTAGACTTAGTCCAGCTGGCTTTGGAGAGATCTCATTAGATCAGGCACATTGTCTCAGTGGGTGGATCAACCTCTCATGATCCTGACTTCCTTGCTCATTATCTCCCTCCTTCTGCTCTTCAACTTGACCTTGGGAGCTCAGTCTAGTGCTTAGACCGATGTGGATCACTGTCTCTATCTCTATCCATCACTGGAATAAGGTTCTATGGTGTTATTTGAGACATTATTCATCAGTGTGACTATGGGAAAAGGTGAGTTCAGGCACCTTCTCCTCTGCTGCCTAAGAACCTAGCTGGTGACATACCTGTGGACACCTGTTATCCCCTCAAGAGACAAGTCTCCTGTCAACCCTAAAATGGCTTCCTTAATTAAGATATCTTCTTCCCTGTTCCTATATCCACCCTTCCTCCATCTCAACCATCCCACACCCCCAAGCTCTCCCCAATCCTTCCCTCCTCCCTTCTCTCTCCCATTCTCCCTTTCCCCACCCCTCTACCTCCACCCACATGCTCCCAACATATGCCTGATGATCCTGTCTGCTTCCAATTTCCAGGGGGATCTATATTTTTTTCTTGGGGTTCATCTTATTATTTGGATTCTCTAGGATTACGAACTATAGGCTCAATGTCCTTTGTTTATGGCTAGAATACACTAATGAGTGAGGACATACCATATTCATGTTTTGGGGTCTGGGTTATCTCACTCAGGATAGTGTTTTCATCCCTTTACATGCAAAATTCAAGACATCATTGTTTTCTACCTCTGAGTAGCACTCTAATGTGTATATGCGCCACATTTTCTTTATCCATTCTTCCATTGAGGGGCACCTAGGTTGTTTCTAGGTTCTAGCTATTACAAATAACGCTGCTATGAACATTGTTGAACAAATACCTTTGCAGTATGATTGGGCATCTCTTGCATATATTCCCAAGAGTGGTATTGCTGGATCTTGAGGTAGGTTGACTCCCAGTTTCCTGAGAAACCACCACACTGATTTCCAAAGTGGTTGCACAAGTTTGCATTCCCACCAAGAATGGATGAGTGTTCCCCTTACTCTATATCCTCTCCAGCACAGGCTATCATTGGTGTTTTTTAATTTAGCCATTCTGATAGGTGTAATATAATATCTCAAACTTGTTTTGATTTGCACTTCCCTGATCACTAAGGAAGTTGAACATGACCTTAAGTAACTTTTGGACATTTGAACTTTTTCTGTTGAGAATTCTCTGTTCGGTTCAGTATCCCATTTTTTAAATTGGGTTATTTAAAATTTTAAAGTCTAGATTCTTGAGTTCTTTATATATGTTGGAGATCAGATCTTTGTCTGATGTGGGGTTGAAGATCTTCTCCCATTCAGTAGGTTGCCCTTTTTGTCTTAATGAAAGTGTCTTATGCTTTACAGAAGCTTCTCAGTTTTAGGAGGTCCCATGTATTCATTGTTGCTCTCATTGTCTGTGCTACTGGGGTTATATGTAGGAGGTGATCTCCTGTGCCAGTGTATTGCAGTCTACTTCCAACTTTCTCTTCTATCAGGTTCAGTGTGGCCAGATTTATATTGAGGTCTTTAATCCATTTGGACTTGAGTTTTGTGCATGGTGGTAGATATGGATCTATTTTCATTCTTCTACAGGTTGACATCCAGTTATGCCAGCACCATTTGTTAAAGATGTTTTCTTTCTTCCATTGTATAATTTTAGCTCCTTTGTTGAAAATCGGGTGTTTATAAGTTTGTGGATTAATATCTGGGTCTTTGATTCGATTCCATTGTTCAACATCTCTGTTTTTATGCCAATACCAAGCTGTTTTCATTACTGTAGCTATGTAATAGAGTTTGAAGTCCAGGATGGTAATGTCTTTGGAAGTACATTTGTTGTGTAGAATTGTTTTGGCTATCCTGGGTTTTCTGTTTTTCCATATAAAGTTGATTATTGTTCTCTCAAGGTTTGTGAAGATTTTTTGGGGGATTTTGATGGTGATTGCATTGAATCTATAGATTGCTTTTGGTAGAATTGCCATTTTTACTATGTTGATCCTACCAGTCCAAGAACATGGGAGATCCTTCCATTTTCTGGTGTCCTCTTCAATTTCTTTCTTCAAAGGCTTAAAGTTCCTGTCAAATAGATCTTTCACATCTTGGTTAATGTTACCCCAAGATACCTTATGCTTATGCTATTTGTGGCTATCATGATAGGTGAAATTTCTCTGATTTCCGTCTCTGCTTCTTTATTATTATGTATAGGAGGGCTACATAATTTTTTTGAGTTGCTCTTGTATCCTGCCACATCACTGAAGGTATTTATCAGCTGTAGGAGTTCTTTGGTAGAGTTTTTGGGGTCACTTATGTACATCTTCATATCATCTGCAAATAACGAAAGTTTGACTTTTTTCCAATTTGAATCCTTTTGATCTCCTTATGTTGTCTTATTGCTTTTGCCAGAACTTCAAGCACTATGTTGAAGAGATATGGAGAGAGTGGACAGCCTTGACTTGTTGCTGATTTTAGTGGAATGGCTTTGAGTTTCTCTCCATTTAATTTGATATTAGCTGTCGGCTGCTGTATATTGCTTTTATGATATTTAGGTATGATCCTTGTGTCCCTAATCTCTCTAAGACCTTTCTTGTAAAGGGGTGTTGAATTTTCCAAATGCTTTTTCAGCATCTAATGAGATGATCATATGGTTGTTTCTTTTAGTTTATTTATATGATGGATTACATTGCTAGATTTTCGTATGTTGAACCAGCCCTGCATCTCTGGGATGAAGCCTACTTGATCATAATAAATAATTTTTGATGTGTTCTTGGATTGGTTTGCCAGTATTTTATTGAGAATTTTTGCATCGATGTTCATGAGTGAGATTTGTTTGTAATTCTTTATCTTGGTTGAGTCTTTGTGTGGTTTTGGTATCAGGGTAACTGTAGCTTTATAAAAAGAGTTTGGCAATGACTCTTCTGTTTCTATTTTGTGGAACACATTAAAGGTTATAGGTATTAGCTCTTCTTGGAAGTTCTGGTAGAATTATGCACTAAAACTATCTTTCCCTGGGATTTTTTTGGTTGGGAGGTTTCCGATGAGAGCTTCTATTTCCTTGCAACTTATAGGTCTATTTAAATTGTTCACCTGGTCTTGATTTAATTTTGGTATATGGTACTTATCCAAAAAAATCAATTTCTTTTACATTTTCCAGTTTTTTGGCATACAGGCTTTTGTAGTAAGACCTAATGATTCTCTGAATTTCCTCAGTGTCTGTTATTATGTCCCCCTTTTCATTTATGATCTTGTTAATTTGCCTCTTCTCTCTGCCTTTTTTTGGATAGATGTTTGTCAATCTTGTTGATTTTCTCAAAGAACCAGTTCTTTGTTTCATTGATTCTTTGGGTTGTTTTCTGTGTTTCTATCATGTTGATTTCAGTCCTCATTTTGATTATTTTCAATCTTCCACTCCTCCTGGGTGAGTCTTCTTCTTCTTCTTCTTCTTCTTCTTCTTCTTCTTCTTCTTCTTCTTCTTCTTCTTCTTCTTCTTCTTCTTCTTCTTCTTTTTTTCTAGAGCTTTTACATGTGCTGTTAACTCTCTAATGTAAGCTTTCCCCATTTTCTTTATATGGGCACTTAGTGCTATGAACTTTCCTCTTAGCTCTGCTTTCATAGTGTCCCCTAGGTTTGGGTATGTTGTTTCTTTATTTTCATTGAATACAAGGAAGATTTTAATTTCTTTATTTCTTCCTTGACAAAGGGGTGGTTTAGTAGTTGACTGTTCAGTTTCCATGAGTTTGTAGGCTTTCTGGGGTAGAATTGTTGTTAAATTTTAACTTTATTCCATGTGATTTTGATAGAACACAGGTGGTTACTACAACTTTTTGGATCTGTTGATGTTTGCTTTGTTACTGCGTATGAGATCAATTTTTGAGAAGGTTCCATGAGATGCTGAGAAGAAGGTATATTCTTTTTTTGTTTGGGTGGAATGTTCTAAAGATGTCTGCTAAATCCATTTGATTCATTACCTCTGTTAATTCTCTTATTTCTCTGTGAAGTTTCTGTCTGGTTGACCTGTCCATTGGTGAGAGAGGAGTGTTGAAATTTCCTACTGTTAGTTTGTGGAGTTTGATGTGTGCTTTGAGTTCTAGTAATGTTTCTTTTACATATGTGCATGCTTTTATATTAGGGGTATAGATATTTAGAATTGAGACTTCATCCTGATGAGTTGTTGCTGTTATGAGTATAAAATGTCCATCTCCATCTCTTCTGATTGATTTTAGTTTGAAGCCAATTTTTTTAGATATTAGTATAGCCACACTCACTTGTTTCTTAGGTCCATTTGATTGAAAAACTTTTACTCAACACTTTACTCTATGGTAATATCTGTCTTTGTGGTTGAAGTATGTTTCTTGTAAACATCAGAATGCTGGATCCTGTTTTCATATCCATTCTCTTAGCCTGTGCCTTTTTATAGGTGAATTGACTCCATTGATATTAAGTGATATTAATGACCAGTGGTTGTTAACTCTGGTTATTTTTTTTTTTGGTGGTAGAGTTTGTGTGTTGTCCTTCTTTGAGATGTGCTGGTGGATGGTTGTCAGATGTCTGTGCTATTATGGTTGTTTCTGGCTTCCTTGGGTTGTGGTTTTCCTTCTAGTACTTTCTGAAAGGCTGGGTTTGTATCTATGCACTATTTAAATTTGTTTTTGTCCTGGAATATCCTGTTTTCTCCATCCATGCTGAAAGAAAGCTTTGCTGGGTATAGTAGTGTGGACTTGCATCCATGGTCTCTTAATGTCTTCAGCACATCTATCTAAGACCTTCTGGCTTTCATGGTTTCCATTGAGAAGTCAGGTGTAATTCTGATAGGTTAGCCTTTATATGTTACTTGACCTTTTTCCTTTGCAGCTTTTAATATTCTTTCTTTATTTTGCATGTTTTGTGTTTTGATTATTATACAGCGAAGGGAATATTTTTTTTTGATCCAGTCTATTTGGTGTTCTGTATGCTTCTTGTACCTTTATAGGAATATTCTTCTTTAAGTTGGGAAAGGTTTCTTCTATAATTTTGTTTAATATATTTCCTGGGCCTTTGAGCTATAATTCTTATTTTTCTTCTACCCCTATTATTTTTAGGTTTGGTCTTCTCATGGTGTCCCAGATTTTCTGGTTGTTTTGTGTTAAGAATTTGTTGGATTTGCTCTTTTCTTTTTTCAATGAGTTTATTTCCTCTATAGCATCTTCAGTGTCTGAGATTTTCTTCTATCTCTTGTATTTTGTTGGTTATATTTGTCTCTGTAGTTCCTGTTCATTTACCCAGATTTTCCATATCCAGACATCCCTCAGTTTGTGTTTTCTTCATTACCTCCATTTCAGTTTTCAAGTCTTGAACTGTTTCCTTTACCTGTTTGATTGCTTTTTCTTGTTTTTTTTTTTTTTGATGTCTTTGAGGAATTTATTAATTTCTTCTAACTTTTTGTTTGTCTTCTTTTCCATTTCTTTAAGGGAGTTTTTCACATCCTTTTTAAGGGTCTCTATCACTTTCATAATGTTACATTTAAAGTCGATTTCTTCTACTTCTTCTGGTTTAGGGTGTTCAAGTCTTCTTGTTGAATGTTCACTGGATTTTGGTATTATGGTGTTGTTTTTCAGGTTGTTGGAGGAGTTCTTGCATTGGCGCCTGCCCATCTCTTCCTTCAAATATGGTCCAAGATGTGGCTGACTGTGTACTTGTTTTTTTTTGTTGTTGTTGTTGTTGTTTTGTTTGTTTGTTTGTTTTCCCTCTCTTAGGTTCCCTTAGCTCTGGAGTTGGCTTTCAGATCCCCTCTACCCTGAAGTAGACTGTGGTGGTGGATCTAAGGACCCTGTAGATGAGAAAGAATGCTTGGTGGCAAGATGGGATGGGGTAAATAGAGAAAGGCAGTAACTGGGGAGACACCTGGATGAATGGCCAGAAACATTTAGGGAATTGGAAGGGGCTTGTACTTCATTCCTGGGGTGACCAGCCGGCCAGGCAGGCACATCCTTACCACTCTGGATGGATTCCCTCAGTACAGGAGAAGGTCCTCTTGCTGGCCAAGGACCTACCAGACAAAAGGGCGGGCTTGGCAGAGGCAGGGTCGTGCGGAACAAAGAAACCCCTTTGGCACTCAACACTGGGTCTCCAGACCCTCAGGCCCGAAGCAGGCTGGGTCGGGAGATCCTAGGACCCCACAGATGGAAAGGGGTACTTGGGGGCAAGCTGGGATGGGATAAATAGAGAAAGCCAGTAGCCAGGGAGACGCCCCTCTGAATGGCCAGAAACATTTAGGGGCCGGGCGATGGTGGCGCACGCCTTTAATCCCAGCACTCGGGAGGCAGAGGCAGGCGGATCTCTGTGAGTTCGAGACCAGCCTGGTCTACAGAGCTAGTTCCAGGACAGGCTCCAAAGCCACAGAGAAACCCTGTCTCGAAAAACAAAAAAAAAAAAAAAAAAAAAAATTTAGGGAATTGGAGAGGGCCTGTACCCTGTTCCCAGGGTCCCTGGCCAGCCAGGCAGGCACAACCTACCCTCCAGATGGATCCCCTCAGGCAAGGACTCATTTTTTAAATATTGGTAAAAGTTTACAGGTTTAAACATAGCCAAGTGTTCTTATTTCCTTTTTTTTTAATTAAAATTTTGCTTAGGATACAAAGTGATGGGTTTCCTCTGAACATCTTCATAGATACAGGTCATAATACTTTGTCTTCACTAATACCTACTCTCTTTATTTGTGATGTTACCTAATCGCATGTGGCTTCAAGTGGAATTTCTATGATGATTATTGACTTCTTAGGTTCATGTTTTAACCCATATTGAGTTGCGCTTTGACTTTGCAAGAAACACCTGCACAATTTCAAGTTTTTGCATGTGAGTTCTGTTTCCCCAGTATGTTATAATGAAGCCAGCTTGTGTGGCAAGCAGTATACCAACTGAACCTGAATACCTTTACCAACTGAGCTTGATACAAACTGAATCTCCCGACCTAGGCTTTTCTCTTTAAGGTTAAAATTGAGTTGGTTAGTTAACATTTTGGATTTCCACATAAATTTTGAGGTTAATTTTTAGAATTTTGATTGATAAGTATTACATGTAATCTCTAGATCAATTTGTGTATCTTTAATATCATCTGATACCTTTCCACTCATTTGTATCTATTTCTATCTCTTTTATAGTTCATGTTTTCTGCATAGAGATTTACTCCTTCCTTCATCGAATTTATTGCTCATTATTTTAGTTTTATGGCTAATGTGAATAGAGCTTTGTAGATTATTTTTTAAAAGTGTATCCTTAACATGAAGAAATGCCCTTGAATGGGGAAGGAGCCATAGCTCAGTGGTTAAAATGACTTGCTACACTACCAGACAAACTGGATCTGGGTCCCAAAACCTTTGTGGTGGCTCAAAACTGTAACTCTAGTCATGTGGACTCACCCTTTCCTAGGCTCTGATAGCACTAGACATACATGTGACACACATATAAACTATCAGACAGATAATCATATACATAAAATAAAAATAAATATATTTTTCCTTCCTTTCCTTCCTTCCTTCTTTCTTTCCTTCCTTCCTTCCTTCCTTCCTTCCTTCCTTCCTTCCTTCCTTCCTTTCTTTCTTTCTTTCTTTCTTTCTTTCTTTCTTTCTTTCTTTCTTTCTTTCTTTCTTTCCTTTTGTTCCAAGACAGGGTTTCTCTGTAGCTTTGGAGCCTGTCCTGGAACTAGCTTTTGTAGACCAGGTTGGCCTCAAACTCACAGAGATCCGCCTGCCTCAGACCCCCAAGTACTGGGATTAAAGGCCACCACCTCTCAGTAAAATAAATATACTTTCAGAAAAAAAAAGTCACAGATATTTCAGATGTAGTTTTTTTTTTAATAATTTCTTTAACGGACACATGGAGATATACAAGGAATACACTGTAATATTTCACTGCAATGTATCATGATCATATTGGGGCAACTGGTACATCCATCATAAAACATTTACCATTTCCTTTCAGTAGAGAGATTTAACGTTCTACTTGCTATTTTGAAATGTGTAATTAATTGGCATCCCTCAATTATCTCGTTGTCTTATAGAGCAAGAGAAGATATTTCTCCAAACAAGTGCTCCTTCTACTTGTCCCATCCTTTTTTTTCACTTAACTTTCTAGACTCTTCCCAGCCTCTAATAACCACCATTTTACTGTTACTTTATTTCCATAACTCTTCCTACTTCTGTGTGCATTGTCTTTCTGTGTGTGTCTTATTTCATTTCACACACTGTACACCAGTTTAGTCATATTTCTACTGTTGACATAATTTCACATTTTGATCACTGGTTAGCACTCTATTATGGACACACACACACACACACACTTCTGTAACCACTCATTTACCCAACACTTAATTTTACTCTACATTTGGCTTATTGTTAGGAATGTTACAAACAGCCTACAGGTACAGATGTCTCTAACTTTTCTAAAGTGGAATCTGGAAATGATGTAAGTCTCAATATATTTGTTGAGAAACATCCATGTTGTTTTTCAAAATACCTGCATTAATTAACTTTCACACCTAAAATGCACAAGTTCCTTTTTCTATGAGATGTCCATAATATTTCATATTATTTCTGCCATTTTTGGCATAGTCAACTGGGATGGTGTATTTTAATATAATTCTTTCTAGTTTTCGTTTCCTTAGTTATTACTGGAGTTGAGTAATTTTTCTTGAAAACTGCCTATTGATGTCATTTGTTCATTGTTTGTGATTGCTTGAGGTTTTTCTCTGTCTGGGATTTTTTTAATTCCTTGCATATTCTTCTTTTTACCCCCCATTTCTGGTGTTTTCTCTGGTCCTGTTGGTTGTTTACTACTCAGAAATTTAAAGTTTGATAAAGCTTGATCTTGTCAACTTCGTGTCTTGTTTCTTTTAGACTCATACCCAAACTTTATTTGCCTAGAACAATGCAGACCCATACTCTGCTTCTGTGGACAGTGGTAGGTTTGAACACAACACAAGAGACCCAAGAGACAGGTTAAAGCATGTCTACCTTGAACTCACTTTCTCCAATGTAGAACTCACTTAAGTCTGGAACATTTTTCCATGTGTGAAACCAGCTAACTTTGAGGGATGAGTATCATGGCCCAGGATACCCATTCCTCTCATTGCCTGGTTTTTCTCTTTTCTGGGTCCAGGGGATCATCATAAGCTCTACCTTGTTCTAAAGTATTCTAGGAAAATATCTTACCAGTTTATAGTTTTTTGTAGGTTTTCTAAGCGCCATCTTTTTGCCGATGTGTTTCTCCTAAATTCACTTTTGTGAAACTGTTCCTGCTTTCTCTTTAGATTCCTCTAAAGACTAAAGAAGCAGTCCACTCCCACTCCCAGGGGACGCACTTCAAAGATGTTACATATAATCGTGCACATTTAAAAAGACTCCAGATGACAAAAATGAGCTCACTCCTCTAAAACTCTATAAGCCAGGTTAGATTTTGCATATAGAGGTGAAGGACATCTTTTCCCATCTGGACTAAATAGAAGCATTAAGTTACAACTAACAAGACAATAAATTTCACATTGTGTAACGTTCCAGTGGATAGCAATTAGGAGGTGCTAGGCAGATTCTAAATGCCTTGGTTTACAGCACTGCTGTAACGTTTAAAGAATGAAAACAGTTTAGACTGCATCCCACACCACCAACACCAAGGTAGAGATTTCTAACATTGCTCATGAAATGCACCATCATTTTTAGTAATTAGATTTTTTTGCTTCAAAATAAATGAACCGGGGGCTGGAGAGATGGCTCAGTGGTTAAGGGCATTGCCTGCTCTTCCAAAGATCCTGAGTTCAATTCCCGGCAACCACATGGTGGCTCACAACCATCTGGAATGAGGTCTGGTGCCCTCTTCTGGCCTGCAGACATACACACAGACAGAATATTGTATACATAATAAGTAAACACATATTTAAAAAATAAATAAATAAATGAACCATAGCAGTTTTTATTTTTTTTAATCAGTACCGTCTACCTATGGTGACACCAAAAAGAACATTGTTCAATGAGTAACAGAAAAGATTCATCTTTTGAGGATTCAGTGTTGTAAATTTGAGTTGAGGGTTTCAAATAGATTCTAGAATTGAAAATTCAGGCTAAGGCCTCAATTACAGAATGATCTTATGTAAATAATTCGACAGAATTAATGGTACCATGCAAGTGAATTATATTTCCACACAAATGAAATCAATGAGGTTATTATTCCAAAAATCTGTATATACAATTAAAATGAAGCTAAACATTAGTTATATGTTTCTTTAAAGCTTCACAAAATCAATAAAAACAATTTTTTTACAAGTAGCTTATTCTGTAAGATGTACTATTTCAACAGTTAGCTCTCTAAGCAGTATAATCCTTTTATGTTGGTTTGGAAGAATGTATTACATTTTCAGGATACTGCCATTATTTTTTTCTAGTTTTAATAATTTTTTACATATATTAACAGAAAAAAATATTTAAAAACTATATGTGTTTGTGTCTCACAGAGTATAAAATAAAATCTTCAAGCATATATATGCAAATCATACATTTTCTCATTTAATCCTCAATAATTTAGAGACATAAGCATTTTTAGTCAATCATTTAAAGAAACTAAGTTTTAGTCACACCAAGTGGGATGGCCAAGAATGCTTAGAGCCAAGCACAGCAAGTTGCTTGCTCATTCCATTTCATTGTGTATGATTTTCTGATTATCAATGAGAATAAAACATATATAACTTCCAAAGCTTATATGGTGATATTTTAGGTGATTTACAAAGTTTTCCTTTTCACACTTTTTCAAACTTCTCACGAAAAGACTCAGACAATTGTTCAAATGCTAAAACAACGTTGTCTTCTTCATTTTCACATAGTTCACGTAAGGAGACACTGCAAATAGAATACACATATATACATACTATTAGTCAACTAAGGGTCATGAGTATTATTTTTAAAAAAGGCTGTCCTGTAAAGAGATGAAATATTATTAGCAAATTATAAGGAATACTTATAAGAAACAAATTCATTAACCAAATAATGCATGTACAAACAAATATGAAAGAAAAAGAAAAATAAGACAAGGAGCTTTGTGCAGTGCCTTTATTACCAAAGGGTAATTGAAAGGCTACCAAATTCTATGCCCTTGGATCCTTGCTCCCTTAAATAGTACAACAAAATTTCTTTTCTTTTCTCTGTATATCTTGTGGACATACTTTGTGGGGGTTTGTTGTTATTTTCTTGTTTTGTTTTTGTTTTGTTTTGCTGCTATTGCATTCATAAAATATAGTAATTCACAATAGAGAAGAAAAGGTTTCTTTATTTTCCCAGGTAGGTGAGAAAAAATGAAAGTGGGATGCGGCCAGTAGAATAGTGGTCCTCATCTAATTCAGATGTCCTCACCTAAATCCCCAGAAACCTGTAACCACGTTAGGCTCCATGTCAATACAGAATTACATCACAGATGTAGCCACAAGTAATAGTTAATCTTGAATGCAGGGGGTTATTCTGGTCCTCTAGGTGGAGCCAATGGACTTCTCCAGAGTGCTCATGGTGTGAGGAAAGTGAGTACTGATGTCAGAGGGGTAGAATGTGGACACTTGATACACAGTCTCAGCTCTCTCCACTGAACATCCCTGACCTCAAAGCCATAAGGAAATAGTGAGCAGGGAACCCCTAAAATGATGCAGACAAGCCCTAAAGGTTGGGAAAGAGCCAACGTTTTCCACCAGAGTGTCCAGAATCCCAGTTTTACCCAGTGGAACACACTTTTGACTTTTGACCTCCAAAACGGTAAGATGATGCATTTCAATAGATTTATATCATTAGGTGACAATTACATTATGACTCATAATAGTAGCAAAATTACATTTATGAAGTAGCAATGACATAATTGTGTGGTTGGGGTTCACCACAACATGAGAAATTGTAATACAGGGTCACAGCATTAGGAAGGTTGAGAACCACTGCCATAGATGAACAAAGCTATTCCCTCTGCTCTTGTGAGCCTCAAATTCACACTGTGTGTGTATATGTGTTTAATTCAGCTCTTATCAAGGAAATAAAACAAATAACTGCTTATTAAGGATATAATAATGATAATATTTATGATCACTTTTAATATATCTTTGATAAAATAAAGAACCCCTCTTAAAGTGTTGAAATACACTTAGACATATGGGACTGGGATGATGATCATTTAACCAGGTGACATTGTATGACCAAACAGAGCCTAAGGATGGAATGCTCATATAAAGTTTAAAATTGCTTGTGATTGACTGGGCTTTGTTGCAGATCAAATCAGGAAGTAGCTATGCACTGACTAGGAATATCAGGATATGTTATCAGTGATGCTCTGGACTAGTTTCCTGTTAGTGTTAGTGCCTGTTCCTGAGACTTTCTCTAGATAGACCTTAATCTCCAAAGTAATATGTAATTAATTATATTACAGAACATAACCAAGAGGTTGTACATATGGGGATTTATAAGCCCTCTAAGACGTGGAAATGAATGGCATGTTACAGGCTCCATGATACTTTTCCATACTTGAATCATGAAAAAAATTACAATTAAATGTATGAAAAATAGGAAACATGTAACATACCTGATAGATTTAATGGTAAGGTAAAAATCTTTCAACAAATGGTAAGCTTCCCCTTGATGTATCCTAAACAACAGAAAAAGTGAAATTAATGACACAAAATTATTTACTGTTATTAATTATACCCCAAAATTATAGCTGTCTTAGCCATGATAACACAAGTTGTTTCCTATGTTTGTTTGTTTACTTGTTTTGCTTGGCGTTTGGGTTTTTTGTTTGTTTGTTTCTTGTTTTTTGTGTTTTTTAAATGGGTGGTTCACAATCGGTCAGAGTGCTGCAGATAAATGACTACTGAGCACTAACACCTTTTTGGAACATCTGTGTCACCTCACCAAGGCAGGGACATCACAGAAGAGGAGACAAGAAGAACAAGAGCTGGAAGTGAGCGGAGTGCTGTGAAATGCCAGCTTCAGGGCATGGCGTGACTCATGACTCCCAGCAGCTGAGGTCATCTGCACAGGGTCTGTGCAAGAGAGGGACCACTAACATCAGGCATGGATGAGAGAGGGACCACTAACATGCAGGCATGGATGGGAGAAGGACCATTAACATGCTGGCATGGATGAGAAGTAGGTAGGCTCATAGGGCCTGTGAGCTGAAGTAGGGATAATCATTTTTCTTCAGGATCGTAGTCACTGGTGGGCCGCTGTGTTCCACACTCATGCAGGCAGCCCTCATATAACTCAATGGGTCACAAAATGAAAGAAAGCAAAATTTGAAGACTCCAAAATGGGAGGATGATATGCTGGGCTTTAGGGGTACAATTGGGAAAAGATGAAAGATATGGATGAAGTGTAACCATATTGTTTTATGTACAATTATAAGATTATCAATGACTAAGTTTAAAAAACAAAAAATATTATTTGCTAACGCAAAAACTACTTTCTTGACAATAATAAATCAAGTTGAATAGACAAGAGTGTTCTAGGAGTTTTCTGAGTACTATCAAACTTTTTATATCTTAATAAGTATTGTTCAAATTTTTATATCACATATAGTATATTTAATTCATTAGTGTATTTGGCTCTAGATGTATGTGTTTCTCTAAACATAAATATCTAATATACTTGGCATAACTAATTATTTCTTAAAGTTATCAAGAGAGAAGATACCTATTTCCCAGGTCAAACCTCAGAAGGGATCCTTGCTTAGAGCAGTCAAGTGAAAATGTGTTATGTGGCAGTTTTCTTCCTTGACTGTCAAACTTTTGTGGCCACAACACAGTAATTGTATACAGAGTGACCTAAATAGTGTTTGGTTCTTCTTTAGAATTGGTTTCCCTGGCAACAAACTAAAATAACTGTCTCAGAACCAGATATGAAAATGAGATACTTTATATTCTCTCAGGTCTTAAGCAATACCAGATTGCTACTTTTCATTAAAATACCAAATGATGCTTACATAGAACTCTAATAAAAATAAAGTTATATTATATTTGAATATTCACAAATATACATTTTGAATATATATTTAGGTTAAGTCAGTTGGTATCAATGCCAAAATTTTGCTGACAAACTAGAAATAAAATAGTATAGTATTTCATCATCTTTGCCATCAGTCTGGAAGTGAAAATCTAACATACTTGGCAGGGTTAACCATTTCTTGGAATTATCAGGAAAGAACATACCTATTGTCCTGTTCCAATCCCACAAGGGATCCATGCTTATAAAAGTCAAGTGCATATGCATTAAGTGGCAATTTTCTTCCTCTATTATCGAATCTGTGTGGCCACAGCACTGGGGCTTGGGTGTGATTGATACCAATTGTGTTTAGAACAACCTAAAGAAATAGAATTTTTGAATGGTTATTCACAAGGAGAGAAGGCTTTTGACTTAGAACTTGTAGTCATTTCATCTTCATCAATGCTCTTCAAGAACACTCTGTTGGTAGAAGAGCAGTTGCCTTCTGCACACACTGAGGCAGAACATCCTAGGGCATGGATTAACTCCACCTGTGAAGAGGATTATCCCCAGAGCAAGTCAATGGCAAGTCCACCAGACTTGCTGGAATAGAACAACACTGACTAGGAAAAAAAGTTAATTAAAAATTTTTCACATCTCCTTAACAATTCAGAGATTACCTTTGCAAATGCAGTTTCACAAAGCAGGAAGCCTTCAGGTCACAAGAGAATATTTGACTGAACAAACATACTGATTTTCCAAATCAACATCCAGATTTTAAAAAAATGTAGAGAGAGGATAGAAGAAAAACAATAAAAAAGAGAAGAAAGTGAACAATCAGTTTTCTGTCTCTGTTTTATGAACTATCTGCCTCATGTAAACAACAGGAATTCTGATATATACCAAGCCATGTGACTTAACATAGAAAAAAATTACGGGTTAATTTAAGAGCTAGTTAGTAATAAGCCTGGACGAATTATAAAAGTTTATAATTAATATAAGTCTCTGTGTGTTTAGTTGGGATTGAATGACTGTGGGACCAGGCAGGGCAGAAACTTCTGTCTACAAATGGTGCCCAAAAGTTCGATAAGAATATCCACATAATGCCTGAGAATGCTTTAAAAGAAAAGGATTCTAGAAGAATAAGAACAGAATCAATGTAGCTTCTAGGTAACTATCTTTACTCCCGTTATGCTCTGTTTAATGGCAGCAAGCAGAGACTGGGCTCCTTTACAAAAGGTTCCCTGACTCAGGGTTAACATCAAAAAACCTCCCAGCTCTTTTAAGAGGCCTTCCACCAAACCCTTAAACGGTGTTTATGAACAGTGGGTGGCATGCTTCTTGAACCTAGGAACTCCACAAAGTTGTTGCAAAAAAAGTGACTTCTTCCAGTACCTCCACCATGAACCTAGATCCAGGAAGACAAGGAGTGAGGCAGATCCACCTGCCAAAGTCACTGCTTTAATCCTAACCATGCCTCTTAGCAGATTAAAGACTCAGAAGAAGTTATAGATGAACAGTAAAGACAAAGTCACACAGAAAAAGAAAACCTTCTAGTGGTTTATAGTGTGTTTAAAAATAAATATAGACTTGGAAGGAAAATAAAAGAATAAAGAAAGTCTTAAAAAAATAGATAGCCGGGTGTGTTAGTGCATGCCTTTAATCTCAGGCCTTGGGAGGCAGAGGCAGGTGGATTTCTGTGAGTTTAAGGCCAGCATGGACTACAGAGTGAGTTCCCAGACAGTAGAACACACTCAGAGAATCTCTGTCTCAAAAACTAAAACACTTTAAAATTAAAAATAAAGAATTAGAACAAGAAAAAAGTCATAGAAAGAAAGAAAAGATACTGTATGTTATTGAATTGTTTCCTGAGGATTGAGCAACAACAGCTAAAAGACATTTGCTTATTAATGATGCTGGGTTAATTCAACCTGTATATTTTGAAAATGCCTTGATTTCAAAATTCAAGTAAAAAGATATGTTATTTTGGAGAAAAAAATTGCTTTTGTTACCACAGGAAGTGAGAGGTTGTGGATTTATTCTTGGTTAAGAAAAATAAAGTTTGATTGAGGATTACCCCCTGAAAAAAATCTACAATGGGAACAAATAGATGATCCAACATTTTAGAGCACCTTTGTTGCAGTTTCTTCTGAGTTCTGCATCCAGAACAGCTTCAAGGCTGCTGGCTAAGATGATTTAGTCAAACAGAATACTCCAGGCAAGACCTGACCAAAATTTGAAAATCCTATTTTTTTTTTTTTTTTGGATTCCTGTAAGATTACCAGCACCCCCAATCATCAGGAAGTAGCCTAGGAAACTTTGCCTACATTTCCCCCAAAAAAATGGATTATGAATGTTTGTCTTTATTTAGTGTGTTGGTTACAAGTTGCTACAGACAATGGTCAAAAAAAAAAGCTAAACAAAAGAGATGAAATTAAGGGTCTCATTTTGAAAGGAAAAAGGAAGAAATGCTGTAAAGATTTGTTACTAGTACTGGTTTAATAAAATGCTGATTGGCCAGTAGTCAGGCAGGAAGTAGAGGCAGAGCAGCCAGACTAAGAGAATTCTGGGAAGAGGAAGGCAGAGGATCAGTTATCACCCAGAAGCAGAGGAAGCAAGATGAGAGTGCTGCACTGAGAAAAAGCACCAAACCACATGACTAAGACCTAAGATATGGGTTAAATTGTCAGCGTTAGTTCATAATAGCTACAAAAACATAGATGAATCTTACAAATATTAAACTAAACACAGGGAAAGATACTCCAGGAGAGTAAAACTAGCCATTCCTTCTCTTTTATATGATAAAACACAAGCATAAAAAATAGTCATTTGTAAACTGAATTATTTTCAGAAAAATTTGGAAAGTTGGGTAACTTTAGTAGAGCAGAAGGAAAGGAAATACAGAAGAGGCATGAGTCCTCAATTTATGTGTATTCCTCTCTTTATAAGTCACTAGAATATAGCATTAAACTAACAAATAATACAAGTAAGTGAAATTTTTAGAGAATACACCTTATTCTAGTAAAACAAATTTATAAAAAGTGAATTGGGTCAAGGAAAAATCAGGCTATGGTCAAGTGGCATGAGTCTAAATACTTATAACAGATGTTCAAAATGAAGGAAACAGAAGCAGAAGCTGCTTTCTAGAACTCTGTGGGCAGCGAGGGTGAGTGGGAACCCTCATGGGAGTTCAGGCACGCACCTAAGTCTCTTCTAATTGATGCTAATTAAAGTGAGAGGGAATGAGTTTATGCATGCACCTTCTAATAGATGCTGATATTGCAGCAACAAGACTCATATTTTTCTAGCTAATTCTTATTGTATAAACACACATCTGAATTTTCATGGAACTCTTACATGTAAAAAGGAAATAAAGGTGATTGTTATATTTCATAAATTAATTGCATAATAAATGGAAAGCAGAATTATTTTTGTTATTGTCTTCCTCCCCCTCTTCTCCCTCCAGTCCCTTCTCATCTTGAAACAGGAAAGCACTATAGCCCCTGCCTGGAACTCATTATGCAATAGTCAAATATGTAGCAGTCCTCCTGTCTCAGCATCCCCAGTTATGTGATAGGCATGAGCCATCACATCCATCTTGAAAAAGGAAATTATAATGTTTAAAAATTAATAGTGTTTATTCAACATTCGTAACTACCAATATCTTACATATCCAACCAGTTTTTTGCAGTGATCCATGTAAAATGAAGAAATCAAAACTTCTAAAACTTATTTTTTTGTAAAATTAGTTTTTCTTGATATGCCTGACTAACTGATAATATGGGTGGCCCACAATTTTCTGAAAAGAAAGAAGGAGTGTATGGCTGGCAGGTTGAGAAGGAAGGTTGGGGAAAAAACTAGGAGGAGAGGGAGGGAAAAGTGTTATTTTCGATCAGGCTCGGAAGATTAATAAATAAAAATATTTTTCTTACAATGGAAAGTACAATGTTTTATCATTTGTATGCGAGCATTCCACAGCCTCAATAGCAGTCTGTTACAGTACACCACTCAGACTGGAGCAAACGCCCCCATAGAGACTGATTAATGAACATCACTCTTTACTTACGTTATCTGAAACTCCTGGACGAAGCAAATCCACATCAAAGTTTCCAGAAAGACAGACAAATGGTGAAACTGCCGTCCTTCCTTCCCTGCAGCTCATCAGGTGAGACACAAGTGGAGAGTCTTCACGGTCCTTACCTGTGAATTCTGACCAGAACAGGCCTGAGATAGATCCCTTTTGTTCTTCTTCCTTTAGTTTTTGTTTCTAGACCATGTTGGGGAGACCCACAGAAACAGCAGACCTGAGCAAGTGGGAGCTCACTGACTCTGGACTAACAGCTAGGGAACCTGCACAAGACTGAACTAGACCCTCTGAAGCAGGTGACAGCTGTGGTTTGGACAGTTTGTGGGGGACAGTGGGACCAGTGCTTAATTCCTACTGCATAAACTGGCTCTTTGGAGCACATCCCCTATTGTGGGACACCTTTCTCAGCCTAGATACAGGGTGGAGGGCCTTGGTCCTGCCTCAAGTGATGTGACAGACTTTGTTGACTCCCCATGAGGGTCCCACCCTCTCTGAGGAGTGGGGGGGGGGAATAGGGGGACAGGAGAGGGAGAGGGAACTGGGATTAGTATGTAAAATAAGATTGTTTTAAAAAATAAAAATAATAAAAGAAAGAATTCCTCTGGTTTCTCTTGTCTCCTTTTTCCTTGCTCCATTTTCTAGGACTGAGCCAAAGTCAGCCCTTAATCAAAACAGTTTAAAAATGATTCGAATTGGTTTTAGCTTCATTCTCCTCTACCCTTTAAACTGCAAGTCACAACCTCCCCAACTTTCTTTTGCTTAGCTTTTTTTTTCTTAGCAGAAATAACCCAATTATTCTAAGGCAAGCTGACTTTTCTGAAGTGTCAGCCTTCTGAGACAAAAATGTTAGCGTTGAAGCACTGCCAATGACTTGCATCCCTAGCATCCATATTGCATGTCTTTTGACAAGACTATTACTAAACTGATCCACAGGGAACTGAAACACACTTACCAATTTTTGACAAGGGGAGTTGATATTCCTGTTTCATATCAGCCAAGTGAGACACAATTAGCAGAAAAGCAGCAAAGTCCTCTGTCACTTGTGTGTTGTACTCAAGCAGGGCCTCACTGAAGTCCTCAGGGAGGTCATCAAGGAACACCTAAATCCCAAAGGTTTTTCAGAGAGCAGAGAACACCTTCCTTAAAAACTGAAAACTTGAAGCATTGAAGGTAAAAGACCACACAGTATAACTTTATTGTTTTCAATAAAGCCACTTTTTCTTCTTTTCTTGATTGAAATGAGGTTGAATTTTTTTTGTTCTTACTTGCACTCGAAAGAGCAAATATTCTAC